ACCACAAAACAAACAAGCAAGCAAAATATAACCAAAAATATAACCAAAATATACCAAAAATATATAAGCAAAATATAACCGAAATACAGAACAGGCTGACAGGGACCAGAGAGGAGATGGAGAGAATTTCAGGGGAAAAGGGGAAGGATTCACAGGAACAAGTACAAAGGACACATGGACGAAAACTAAGGGGGGGTAGAAAGGGGAGGGAGGTGGGGAGCACTGGGGGGGAGGCAGGCTGGCATGGGAGTAAAAGACAGAAAACTGTACTTGAACAATAATTAAATAAAAAATGCTTTAAAAAAAGCTTTCTGCTTTTCACTAGTGAATATGATGTTAGCTATGGGTTTGTCATATATGGCATTTATTATGTTGAGATACGTTCTTCCATCTTCAGTTTGCTGAGAGTTTTAATCATAGCAAATGTTGGATTTTTGTCAGTATTTTCTGCATCTGTTGATAGGATCATTTGATTTTTATCCTTACTGTGTTTTAGCAGTCATTATATATTTAATTGATTTATAAATATTGAACCACCATTGCATCTCAGGAATAAATCCCATCCATCCAATCATTGTGTGTCATATTTTTAATATATTGAAAAATTCAGTTTGCTCATATTTTGGTGAGGATTATTGCATCTGTGTTCATCAGACATACTGGCCTTAATTTTAATTTTTGTAATGTCTTTCTCTGGTTTTGGTATGAAGGTAATGCTTGCCTTGTAAAATGAGTTTGGGATCCTAGCCTCCTTTTTAGATTTTTGGAACAGTTTGAGAAGGATATGCATTAATTTTTTACATGTTTGGTAAAATTCACCTGCGAAGCCATCAGTCCAAGATTTTTTGTTTGTTGGGAGGTTTTTGATTACTGATTTGAGTTTGTTATTACTTACTGGTCTGTTTCTGATTCAGTCTTGGAAGATTGTATGTTTCTAGGACTTTACCCATTTCTTCCAGTTTGTTTAATTTGTTGGCATATGATTGTAGTATTTTCTCATAATCTCTTGTAATTCTCTGGTGTCGGTTGTCATTTTTCCTCTTTCTGTTTTTATTTATTTAGGCCGTCTTTTTTTTCTAGATGAGTCTGGCTTAAAGGTATATCAATTTTGTAATATTTTCAAAGAGCCAGGATTTGGTTTCATTGATCTTTTGTGTTTTTTTAGACTCAATTTCATTTATTTCTGCTCTGATCTTTATTATTTCCTTTCTTCTCCTTACTTTGGGCTTTGTTCTTTTTTTCTAATTCCTTTATTTGTAAAACTAGATTGTTGATTTGAGAATTTTCTTGTTTCTTCAGGTAAGCCTGTATTACTATGACTTTTGCTCTAAGAACTGCTTTGGCTGTGTCCCATAGATATTTTGGGGTCATTGTATTTTCATGTCATTTGTCTTAAATATCTTTTGATTTATTTCTTGATACCATTGTTAGCCCACTTATTTAACAGCATGATAAATCATGGTCCATGTTTTTGTGTGTTTTTTAGTTTTCTTGTAATTTCTTATACCTTTGCGATTGAAGAAGATGTTTGATATGATTTCCTGGTATGATTTCAATCTTCTTAAACTTATTGATAATTATTTTTTGGCCTACCATGTGATGTATCCTGGAAAATGTTCCATATGCACTTCAAAAGAATGTGTAGTCTGCTTTTGTGTGAAATGTGTATCCTGGACATTTTTAATGTCCTGTTATGAGACTCTAGGTTTTGTTTAAATTCTTTGGCAAATGTTGATATTTTTGTTTTAGTGTGCAGTTGACCTGGAGGTAGGTTCATTACACAGGTTGTGGCCAGTCTTCTCTGAGTTGTAGTTTCAGTGTCAGCTTTGTTTACAAAGCTGTTACAGAGCTATTTCATTGTGTCCTGTTTGTGTGCCAACCAATAGCCATTTTAGGACTTGGAAACCAGGTCTGTCCCCTAGCTTAGTTTTCAAAGTCTGTGGTATGCTGCTTAGGGTCATAACCATGCATGTGCAACTCAAGTATAAGCTGAGGATTCATAAAGAACTTCAAGGGGTCACTTTTCTAAGTTCTTCCCTCTCTGTGTCTTTCTGGTACTTTATGGTCCTCTAGGCCTACTATTTTGGTAATCTGGCCAGAAAGCTGTGGTGTTTGTATCTGGGCCTAGATAGTGGAAGGACAGTGAGCAAAGATGCATTAGGGGTTTCCCCCCTCTCAGGACCACAACTCCTGTGACTGGAAAGGACCCCTGCTTTCAGAGCTTTAGATAGCCTGCTGTGGTGGGCAGAGTTCTAAAGCTGCCTTCCCAAGATTCCTGTTCCCTTGTTATTCAGTCAAACATTAATCTAGGTACTGCTGTGAAGGGACTTGGCAGATATAATTAGGATTACTAAATAATTGGCCTTAAAATGGGGAGATTAGCCTTGGCTGGTGTAGCTCAGTGGATTGAGCACGGGCCTGTGAAGCAAAGGGTCGCAGGTTCCATTCCCAGTAGGGGATATGTGAGAGGAAACCACACATTGATGTTTCTCTCCCCCTCTTTCTCCTTCTCATCCCCTCTCTCTAAAAATAAATAGATAAAATATTTTTTTTATGGGGAGATTATTTACGTGGGCCCAATGTAATACCATGAGCCCTTAAAAGCAGCAGAAGTGGGCAGGGAGATTCAAAGTGTGAGAGGGATGTCACTTCTGTCATTGGGTTTGAAAATAGAAGGGGCATGAGACCTGGAATGTGGGTAGCCTTTAGGAACTGAGAACAACCCCTACTGTAGTCAGTGAGGAAACAGGGACTCCAGCCCTACAACTGCGTGGGACAGTTCTGGCAGCAGCCTCAGTGAGCCTAGAAATTGGTTTCTTTCCAGATTCCTGATAGAGGCCAGATCATTGCCACCTGTATTTCAGCTTTGTGGGACCTGGAGCAGAGAAATACCTGAGTCTATTGGATTTCTGACCTACAGAGCTGTGAGATAATAAAATTGTGTTGTTTTAAGTTGCAATAGAAAATGAATATACCTGCAGACTGCCTTGAGCTAGAGGTGGAAGAAAATAAAGGGAGTGGTAAAAAGCATGCAGTTTCCCTTATTTTCTGAGTGGTGGGAAAGCCCATTCCTCTTCCTTATGGCAGAACCAAATGGCTTTCCCTAGAGCTCTCTCTTCACATCCTGGGCACTGAGTTCTGGGTTTTGGCTGCATTGCATCCACCTGAGATCTGGAGGAGAGAGAAGTAGTAAGCTTACTACCAGTTCTATGACCTTCTTCCTCAATCCATGTACTACTGTTCACTTTTTAGTGTCCCCAAATAGCTGCTTTATTTATTCTGTCCTGATTGTATAACTGCATTCAGTGGGAGAGACAGGGTAGAGTGTGCTTACTTGATCTTATCCAGAACTGAATTATGAAAAGAATTTTTTTGTGTGTGTGGAGAGTGGTAATCTCTAGTGGTAGTTTCTGCTAATACTTTAATGTACATTCTTGCATATTTTTTCTTAAGCATTTGCAGGTGTTCTTTTTTTTTTTTTTAAACAGCAACAACAATAAAAATGGGGTCATAATTTTGTAGAGGCTGCTTTTTTTTTTACTTAAAGTATCGGGGGCATTTTTACATGTTAGTACAGACACAGTAATGAACCTCACTTTTTAATTGTGAATAGTAATACTAAAATAGTAGCGACTACCATTTCATTTAACCAGTATGGGAGTGTATTAGTTTGCTAGGGCTGCTGTAACAGTACCACAGATGAGGTGACTTAAACAAACATTTATTTTTCGCAATCTTGGAGACTAGAAATTCAGGATCAAGGTGTTGGCAGGGTTGCTTTTGTCTGAAGCTTCTCTGCTTGGGTTGTAGACAGGCATCTTCTTCTTGTGTCTTCACATGGTGTCTTAGTCAGCTTATGACATTTTACAATACCATAGACTAGGTAGTTTAAACAACAAAAAATTTATTTCTCACAATTCTGGAGACTGAGAAGTCCAAGATCAAGGTCCTAGCCAACTTATTTCAATCTATTGAGGGCAGACAACCTCCTTTTTGGCATGCTGATTGATTACTGCCTTCTCACCACATCCTCAGGGTGGGGAGTGGTAGGGAGAAGAAGGCGGGGGAGAGCGTGCAAGAACACGTGCTCTTGTGTTTCTTCCTTGTTTTTCCTGTTTACAACTTCATTTAACTTTTATCACCTCCTTACAGACAATAGTCATATGCGGTTAGGCTTTCAGTGTAGGAATTGGGGCGGAGGGGACACACAGACATTCAGTCCATTACACACGGTCTTCCCTCTGTACTTGTCTGTGTCCTAATTTCCTGTTTTTTTAAAAATTAGAATACCAATCCTAATGGATTAGGACCCACCCTAAAGACCTCATTTTAACTTGGTATATATTGGGAGTTAGGATTTCAACACAGAAATTTTGAGAGGATGCAGTGCAGCCCTTCCTTAAGGTAAGGAAGCTGAGGCTCAAAAACCTTGTGTAATGTGGCCAAGATCACACAGTTGGTAAAGGATAGAACCAGGATTCAAGTCCAGGTAGATTGGCTCCAGAGCCTGCTTTCTTAACCACCTGGTCAGGCCCCTACCTCCATTCCCCACCTTGGCACTGCAGTTGTTGTCAGGTTAGATTATTTAACTAATTCTGTGTTGAGCATATGGGTTTTCACTCCTTTTTTTTATCCTATTAGCACTGCATTGAACATGATTTTTCAGGCATCACTATGCACCTCTGAAAATAATTGCTATTGTATAATGCCTAGAAATCAGTTACTCACAGAAATCATTATTAAATTTATATGTTTTTGCAAAATGCCCTCTAAAACATCACCTGTTTACTCTCTCAGCAGTAACCAGTGAGTGTCAAGTTTTAGAAGGGAGCAATGGAAAACTACTTCCTGTCATGGGCTACAGATGAATTTGAATTGGGTACTTATTGGGGGTATCACAGAGTGAAATGAAGGCCATCCTTTCTTTTAGATGGGTTGAAAATTGTGTACAGTGATGCATCCTAATCAATTCACGAGTTACTTTCTTTTTTTTTTTTCAGAATTTTGATTCTGACATAAGCAGTGTGGGAATAGATGGCTGCTGGCAGGCAGACAGCCAGAGGCTGCTCAATGAGGTGATGGTGGAGCACTTCTTTCGACAAGGAATGCTGGATGTAGCCGAGGAGCTCTGCCAGGTAACGGTGTGCCAGCTGTGAGAAGGTGACAAAGAAACAGAGGAGCTCTTTGTGGAGTTTTGAATCTTCTTTTAGCCATAGATAGATTTTTAGTATTTTAATTATCAGGACTGACCTCATTTTACTAGATCGTTTTTATAATTGGAAAAAATTAATAATCCTAGAACTTCTTTATTGGATTATTTCCTTATTCCTGCCCCAAAATGTTGGTTCTGAGTCCTTAACAAAGTTATGAGAAGGGATGCTACTGTTTTCATTTACTCTTTTAACAGGGATGGTTAGTATAGAAAAGAACAAAGAGGTGCATGTCTGTCCTTCTGTTCTAGCCCAACTTGTAGAAGTTTATCAAATGAATTGAAAGCTAAAATTTACTTCAGATGGGTATCATTTGTCTTTTATTTCTATTAGACATAAGTGTAGGGATCTCAGAACAGTTTACCAAATACGATCTAATCATAATGGTAGCAGCTGCCAAGCACTGAGTACTTACCACTTACCTTTATTTCTCATGGCAGTCCTCCTGGGAGATAGCATCTGAGGTCTGGAGCAGAAATTTTCTTAACACCATACAGGTTCTTAATAAAGTAACTAGGTAGGATTCAGTCCCAAATTTATGCATCTTCAAATTGTGTCCTTTGCTACCATGCACTATTGTATTTTCTCATAAATTTGAAAATTTATACTTGATCTTAGCCAAAAAGCAGAGTAGTCTTTTTATTGTATTTTCTGTTGAAAGACTGTAAGGATTAAATAATCGAAGGCTAGTTTATAAACAAAACCTCTAGTCCTTTTATATTTTAAACATAAACTGTAACTCAGGACTTTCTCTGTACTTTATGAGAATTATGTTTGTCTATATAAAGTTCCTGAAGTAAATTGTCATTTAGGATTAAGTTTGTTTATAAGTAACAAATACCCAAAATACCATTGGCTTAAACAATTTTCTTTTTGCACAGAAATAGGAGGTAGTAAGTCATCTACAGCATATACTATAGTAGCTATGCCCCATGAAGCTCTTAGGGACCAAGGCTCTTGCAGCTGTCCTGTTTCTGAGCTGTCCCCTGTCCTCGTGGTCTAGTATACCAGTGAGAACTGTACCTTTTAGTATTCCAGGAAGGGGCAAAGAGTACATGCTTATAGTTCATTGGCCAGAACTTTTTGTTGCATCATACCCAGCTTTATTCCATATGACTATATGCCCAGCTAAAATTTAGGGGTTCTACTACTTCGGAAAAGGAGAAAGAATGATAATGGGTCTCAGTCATCAGTCTTTGCCATAGAAATACATGTTAAAAAGAAAGATCTTGAATGGTTTGTCCCATATTTAATTTGTAATATGCTTTTAGTATATCTCTTTATCCCAATTATTGCTAACAAAAGTTGTTTCTATTTTTTTCAGGAATCTGGTCTTTCTGTAGACCCCAGTCAGAAAGAACCATTTGTGGAGTTAAATCGAATATTAGAAGCATTAAAAGTCAGAGTTTTGAGACCTGCTCTGGAGTAAGTTACTGAGTTTGTTTTCTTTTGAATACTTTGAGAGAACTCTGTAAGAAAACTTTTTAGAAAACACATTAGAGATTTTGAGATCTGTGTCACACCTGGGGTATATATCAGAGAAATTAAGGGAGAATTATTTTTTTTTCTTTTAGCTAAGGGAATATGGGAGATGTGTAATATGAGGACTGCTTAGAGCTTACTTCACTTATCAGGTGATCTGAATTCCCATGAGAGAAAGGGAATAGCCTGTATCCAGGCTATACTATCACTTTAGACTAGTATTATAACTGAGCACTGTTGTTCGGACAGTCTGGGTTTGATATTTGAACTTCCATAATGGGCCAGGTTCTATGCTAGTATTCTAAAAAACAGTATAATTGGAGCTAAGTTGTATGTGTAAAGAGAGCAAAGATTGCTATGATGGAGTTCTATTCTAATTACCACTGTTAAATTTAATTATTTACTGTGAACTTGTTATTGCTATGAATTATCTGAAATTACTAAGCCGTGATAAATACCATCCTAGAGTGAGTCAGCAAATATTTTTGTAAAGGGCCAGATAGTAAGTATTTTAAGCTTTGCAAGTCACATAAAGTTTCCATCACATGTTCTTCTTTGTTTTATTTTACAACCCTTTCAAAATGTAAAAAAAAACTAGCTTGGCCATCTGGCATACAAAATGAGCAGCAAGCCATATTTGGCCCCTGACCATAGTTTGCTGACCCTTGTCCTAGAATTTTTTAATGTGAGGATTACTGGGTTATTTATTGAAAGAAAGAAAGGAGGGTGAGAGAAAAGCCCCTAAAAGGAAGAAAGTAGCTGATAGAAACAGTGATATTGTTGTGAGATCATGGTCTTAGGATCCTAAGTATTCTAAGTATTTTAAAATTGGCAGTATTTGAGACTATTGTAACCAGAAAGAAATTGTTTGGAAGATCTTTGTCGATTTCATAAAATGAATATTTTTCTACTAACCTATTTAATTTTTATAACTTATTTTTATAGCATTCTTAAACCAGCCCAGATAAACAGGTAGTGATAGATAAATTTCTGTGTAAATTTATAAATTATAAATTCCTGCATAAATTAAATATGAGTTAAGTAGGTACTATATTTTTGAAGATAGATATTACTTAAATGGTACCATTGGCTGTGATGCATAGTATAATTTTTTGATTTTTTAAAAGCAGATTTCAGATTGTGATACACCTGGAAGATTAAATTCATATACCTCTAATACCTCTTAAATAAAGTGTGGCAACCGCTCTTCTGTCTCCTTTCATATTTCATATAGATAAAACATCTATAAAGGGGAGTGAGAGAACCTAATAAAAATATATGGGTTTTCCAGATGTTATATAGTGATTTGGAAATAATATATGAGTTATTCAAGGTAGTATTTATTTATCCATTAATTTCTCAGGCTTTTCATCAAACTTTTATTGAGTGTTTACTATGTACCAGAGATGGTGCTGAGTGTTTGGACATCCTCAGCCAAGTATTCAAGGCCTTTTCCTTTTGGAATGAAGGAAATTGATAAGACCCTTTTAACTTTGTTCTTTTTCTATAAGATCTAAATGTCTTACTGATAAGTATGTTGAAGTAGTAGTATGTGTAGTTATACTGTGTAGAAGTATCTAACACATTAGATATTTCTGTGAATGTTTCCTGTTACAGCCTCAAGCAATGCCTTTCAGACAAAGGGAAGGCTTGTTCTACCCAGTTGGTGGTAACAGTGTAAATTACAGTAAAAGTTTTCTCATTTCACTTTTCTGGGACTATTGCCATGTTATTATATATACCAACATGGGGGAATGTAGTGATAATTATAGTGTCGAGTACTTATAATGTGCTTAGCATTGTTCTAGGTACTTAACATGCATTACTATGTACTTTAACATAATTATTTTAACAGATGTTTTACATATATTAACTTATAATCCTCATAATAATTCTATGAAGTAGGTATTCATTTTACAGAGGAGGAATTAAGGCCTGAAACATACTCCCTGAAAAACAAAAGATATGGAGTCAAAGGTTGTATGATAAATGCTTCACAAAATATTTCCTTAATACTCTCCTGTAAGAGAATTACTTTGGTATATTAGATGGTCCATCGGTAATCCTAAAGAAACTCACTAAATTTTGTACCCAGTGTTCCCCATGCATATTTGACTGAAGAATCCTTGTCTACCCACACTCCCACAATGCCTATTAAAACCCACAAAATTGGAGTTTTATGGAATATAAGTTTGGAAAATGATAGTTTAATGGAAATCTCTCTTAACAACAACTCAAACTTTTCCGATTCTTGCCTATTACCACTGGATATAAGCAGTATTTACTTAGTATCTTTTATGGGTGAGGTAGAGAAAATTTACTCTGCATGTAGCAGAAGTTGAAAAATGTAGGATATCACTTTGGGGAGCTGTGGTTCAGATATAAGGGGAAAATATCTTTCAGTTGTGTGGCATCTTCTTTTTGTACCTGTTGGGAGGAAAGCGTATGGAACCACCCAAGAAGGGAAAGAGGAAGGTGAGAGGCTGCAGTAGTTCCTTCCAGGCAGCCTAGGCAGTTGAAGAGACAGGCCAGCCAAAAAAATTAATATGGACAGAGGCCATGGAAGGGCTAAATGAGAAGGAAGTCTGGAGAGTATTAGCTAGTAATTGCAAATAGTGAGAGACAATGGAAAGAAGGCAGAAAAGAATAGTGATGTGGTAGAGAAATGGCAGAAGAACAGGTAATTACACTTACAGATCAGGAGGCTGCCTACTTTTTGTTCCTGCCTTCATATTTCTGAGTTTGTGCGCCCTGCCCAATGGAAAGGATACAGAAGGGAAGATAACACAATGGAATGTAAAGGCCAAGAGGGAAAAACATATTTGGGGTAATAATATCATTTTCCATGGTCTGTTTTATGTTTGTTGCTGGCAAAATTTAAATGAAGTTCTAAGACAGTAGATACTCCTCGGGAGGAAGAATAGGCTTGGCCAACACTCATCTGGATATCTTCTCACCATGGAATTGAACAGGCAAGCCATGACAATAGAGAAATTGAGAATCTCTGTAAAAATAAGGGGAAATTGAAATAAACTATCCATGGAATTGTTTTAAAGAGGGAGTTAGACTAGGCCAGGACAGGGAGTTGAGAAGAAAGACACTGGAGTTTAGTGCTTGTAAAATGCCGGTCTATTATTAGGTTAATAAAATCTCTGGGTTTCGTGGTAGGAAACTGGCAGTAAATAAGGCAATGTTATATTTAAGTACTGTATTAAAAACCACCAGTTTACAGAACTGTGCTGATCAGTGGGGTGGCCCCTGCCACACCTCCTATTAGGCACATTTACCAAACTACATTTCTGAGAAACTCATGTAAAGTTAAAAGTGTGTGTATTGTGTTTTTAAGTAGATTTAAATTTGTAATTTTATAGTTTGTGTGTTTTCTTAAATGCCATGTTGGGGTCGAAGATTCACACTAGTTCTGAGATGAGTAAGATGTTATCAATTCCAGTGACTCAATGAGACTCAATGGACTCAATGAGAAATTACCATTGAAAATCTTTCAAATAATATGTTAGCTATCCATTTTGGTCTCTAAAAGCAAAGTTTATAGGGTTCCTAACTTTTGACTGAACTTTGATTTTCATCATTTTTGCAATTCTCTGAATTTTTATGCACTCGATTTAGTCACCAGTTAATGATCAGCCAGGTCCACACCTGTGGAGTGAATAAATGTCACTCATTTCCCTGAACTTCATTTTTTACCCCCAGGAATATACCCTAAAGGAAACTAGAAAAAGGAGATAGTCGTAAGCCTTGAAAAATGTAGTGGCAGGTTGTAGTGGAGTGTACTGTGGGAATAGGCAAGAGGCTATTTATTTCACTATTACCAGAAATAGACACCAGCACAGATAGGCCAAATTGTGAGAGGAGGGAGAAAAGCAGATTAATTCTGTCAGTTAGATTCCTGGGGGAGAACAGCAAACTGTGAAGGTGGAGTCTTGTTTTAATTATTTTTGGAATGATACGGAAATTCTAAATGTGGAGCTAACAATATGCCAAGTCTTTTTAGAGACCTGACAAGTAGGATAATTAATGCTTAGTGTTTCTGTGGGGTGTAACTGGTAGATGTGGGTTGCTAATAAGTAAGTCTTACTGTTTTAGGGTCTTTTTATGGAAGAAACCCAAAAGGTCTGGAGGATGCAGGGGCAGTGAACAGAGATAGATAATTGTGACATTGTGACCTTAATGGGTGTCATCTCTTTGTCTGCAGTATTTTTCCAAAAACGAATGGTTCCAAAGCTGATGATGCTCTCCTAGCCTACGTTGGAGATTTGGGAGCAGATTTTTTTTTAAGAAAATCACAGTAAAGTTATAATATAACTGAATGTTTACTAGCTTGCTGGTTTATGCTGTAGTGGTGATTGGTTTATTAAAAATTAAAAATCAAAAGTGTTCTGCTAGAAATGCCATTATCCAGACTGTAGTATCCTGTATCCTCAAATCTCTAACTAGGTTTTTCTCTTTTTGGTCATGTTTTCTAGTGCTTTGTAGACAGTGGGTTAAACTTTTGGTTCTGATTATAGTTTTGTGCTTTGCAGGTTTTCGATTTGGTTGTTACAAGGTGCATTAACCTTGTGACTATCTTTTACCCCCATTTTTGCTCCATGAATCAAATACCCAAATACTCAGTGTGAACTTCTAGCTAAGAAAACTTGAAACATTTTTGAAGGAGATTAACTCATACATGCACATTGTCATGTTTTCACCCAGTTGCTTCTGTAAAAATTAAAGTGGCACAGAGTGTTACATGGAAGTGCCCATGTAACTTTTAAAAATATATCATCTTAAATACAATTTTCTTACTGAAAATATGACTTTGAAGAATGGTCCCAGTACATCCATTCAGTAAACACATACTAAGTAGTTATTAATGAGTGTCTTTTCGTGCCAGTCTCTGTGTACAGTGCTTTAACCAGTCCCCTCTTTTAATGCCCACAACC